TCAATATTTAGTAAGGGAGTTCTCAGACTGCCGAAATGATCCTCGCCGCCAATGGAAACTGCTCAACAAACTCCTTGGTCGGAACACCACTCCAACACCTCTCAAAGCCGACGTTTCCAGCCTCACCAACTTCTTTGGATCGGTCGTCTCTGACCCAGAGCGACCTCCTTCCCTGCAAATCCCCCAAGGCCCCCGACAGCTCACCAGTTTCGCAAATTTCACCCCTGTCACTACCACTGAAGTCAGCAAGCTCCTCAAGAAGATCTCCCCTTTCAAATCCACCGGATCCGACGAACTCCCACCCCTTCCTCTGAAGATCTGTGCAGAAGAACTAGCCGGTCCCCTCTGTCTCATTTTCAACGAATCACTCTCCCTCGGTTCCTTTCCAGACATATATAAAGTAGCGTCTGTATTCCCCCTCTTCAAGAAAGGCAATCCAGAATGTCCCTCTAACTATCGCCCCATATCTCTACTCCCCATCGTATCCAAGCTTCTAGAAAAGATCGTCCTTCATCAACTGCAGCGCTATATCAACACCCACCCAGAGCTCAACATTCTTCCTCCCCAACAGTTCGCCTACCGCTCTGATCATTCCACAGAGGATGCACTTTCACTGGCTATATCAAAGTAACAACGCTTGGATGACGGTCAGAACACCGGAGTGTTATTCTTGGACATGAGCAAGGCGTTCGACCGGGTCAAGCACCAGCCACTCATCAACGAGCTCTACTCCTGCGGTATTTGTGGCACAGCACTGTCTTGGTTCGCCTCCTATCTAAGCGCTCGTCGACAGACAGTGACGAACCCCTCCACAAAAACATCCGGCGACTCCGTGACCTGTAGTCGAGGGGTACCTCAAGGCTCTGTCCTGGGCCCCGTTCTTTTCACAATCTACACAAGACACGTAACAGACGTCACACCAACTCACACATCTAACATACTCTACGCCGACGATATAGGACTCTACGCATCGAGCAACTGCATCAACACGATACAGGACCGACTATCAGAGAGCTTCGATGCGGTTAAATCACACCTCACGGAACTGGGCCTCCTACTGAACCCCGACAAAACTCAACTATTAATCGTCCGCCGGAAGACAACCCCATTTCCACCTACCTTCACTGTCATCTGTGGTAACTTCCCAGTATCCCCTTCCCAGTGTGTCCGTTACCTTGGAGTGCTAGTCGACCAGCACCTTGCCTTCAAGGAGCAGGTCGGGAAAGTTGTTGCTGACGTCAACCGTAAGCTGGCCGCATTCCGCAGAATACGACATCACATCACCACCCAGGCACAACGTTCCTTTTACCTAAGCATTATCCAATCCACCATGGAGTACGCCAGCAACTGCTACGTTCACACGATATCAGCAACCCTATACAACACACTCATTCGATGCTTCAAACGTAGCCTCAGGATAACATTTGGCTACCCACCATGCCACCCAACCGCCACCATTTGTCAACGCCACAAAATTATTCCTGTCGCCATCCGTTATAACCTAAAGATATTTTGCCTTGTCTATAAATGTGTGCATGGCCGCCGCAGCCCTCTACTTGCCGAGCTTTTTGTACTTAGATCAAATAGCAACCATACCAATGCCTTGACCAGGGGACAGTCCGCCCTGGCTTTAGCCCTGCCTAATGCTTCGTCACGGTACGGTTTCTATGCTTTGCCTCACCTGGCTGCTGACAGGTGGAATTCGCTTCCAGCAGCATGCCGCCAGGCAGCCTCCTTTGCAATGTTCAACAGTACTCTTCGCAGCCTCTTTTGCAACACATAATGGCACAGTGTGCAGCCACCGTTTTCTTTTTTCTTTACTCTATTTCACGCACTTACGGCTTTCTTCATTTAGCTCTATTTCACGCACTTACCTAGGGTACCCTGTAAAAAGACTCACAGTCTGTGGGGATTGCCCTAGTAAAATGATAAATACTACTACTACTACTACTTGGTCCGCCCAGTTAAAATTGGCGCTTATCTTCTCACTTGTTTTTTTGGTGTTCTGCCTGTGCCATACGGCATGGAACCGCCGATTCACCATCCGAACATGACCATTGACCATTGCATCCGACGACATGGCAGCACAAACCATCACAGAAGTTGCGATCAGTTCGTTTGAGTCTTTTTGACGGAGCTGCCGCCGACGAACACTTCCGTCAGCGCAAGAAAACACTGCAACCTCCGCTCGAGTCCGTAAAATAGGTCAGGATGTTCGCATTTCAGAGCGATGGAGAATACAGTTTCTGTCTACTTCCAGCTGTCTGATGGCAAGGATTGTTTACTCTGGGGAGGTATAGAAAAGCTGAAAAAGCGCTTCGCGAGCTTGAATTTCAGTGCTTGCACAGTACAGCGCCTAGTGAAGGGCTATCACCAGCAAATCGCTGACGAAGAAACTGCAGCTCATGTCGATGTCTCCAGTAAGTGAGACCAATCCGGCGGACACACTTTGAAGCTCACAGAGGACAGGGCAAAGGAGCTAATCAAAGGAAACACCAAGTCCTGAGAGAAACACTCGTGCAAAGGACTTTCAGGAAACTAGCCGAAAAGCCTGGTGCACGGCGTTGTAGGTGCAGTACGCACAGGTGCTACATCAAGCGGAAGCTATCACTGCGCTGCATGTACAAGCACCAGCGGCTCGCGTGGGTACGGGTGCTGATCAGCAAGTCCGACAAGCGCAAGAGGCGATTTGAAAAAAGGACACTGATATGGCGTTGCCTTTTTGTCTCAAACAAAGTCGCATTATTGCGACGAACGGGGATAACACAGTCAACATGCGGGCAGTCTCACTCAGCTTCTGATGGGAAGGTGACAGGCACGCACTGCCTTTGAGCGTGATTCGAGACGAGGAGAAGTGGAACAAGCTATGAAACGACCTGTGCAGCAGCTGTCCGGATCGTACGTTTTGAGCTCTTCCTCCAGCGACGATAGTGGCGAGGAAGATGTGTAACTTGCTTGAATTTTCGACTGAGTTGCTTACTGACATGTAAATAATCATGTATATAGTGCTTTGTGACCGTAGCTTGCTTCAAATATTAGTATTTCTTTCCTGAGACAAGTGTGAAGATAAGCGCCAATTTTAACTGGGCGGACCAAGTACTACTACTACTACTACTACTACTACTACTACTACTACTACTACTACTACTACTACTACTACTACTACTACTACTACTACTACTACTACTACTACTACTACTACTACTACTACTACTTCGTTCCCCCATGTGTTGACTCCGCTAGTCTCACCATTACATCTACGTCTGGACAGTCATATGTGTGACAATGTTTGTCTGTAGCATTTGGTCTCATCTTGACATCATGCCTATGTCATTTCATCTCGTCTGTTATGACTTTATTTATTTATTTATTTATTTTTGTTGAGACAAAACCAGGTTTTATCTCAGAAGGGGCGTGAGAGTATAATTATTATTATGTTACTGTGTTTGTTATTTTGTGTCCGGTTGACACCCATGGAATTTTATCTTCGAAGGGGCGTGTTATGTTATGACGTAATGCCGTACAACTTTAGCTCTACTGTGTATGCACGCACGCATATCTTTGAAGGTCTTCTCTGTCGTTTTCAGATTGAATCTAAACAGTTTTCTACTTCGTATATTCTAACCAATAAACTACTTGTCTCTTGTCTACCGAACCTAACACTGTCTCTTCTTCTACCGTTGCCCGTTGGTTGAAGGAGGTGCTTGCTTGGTCCTGCTGGCATTGATGAATATACCTGTGGCGCGGCCGCATCTGCTATATGCCCATGCTGGCGGTGTCTCTACTGCTGCTATCTTGGCAGCTGCTGATTGGAAGAGTGCTCCTACACTTCGCCGCTTCTATTGCCATGACGTCACCCCGCCGGCTGACTGCTTTAGTGCTGAGGTCCTCTGCTCTGCTACAGCTTTTAAAAGTAAGTCCTGCAGCTTTGCACCCGGCGTTGATCAAGCTGTCATGGTTTTTATCTTTCCTTTGACATTTTGTGCGTCTCTGACCTCTGCATTGTGTGTGCAGTTTTGTTGACTGCATGCTTTGTTTCACACGTCTTGTTCTTTATTTATACGTCGCTGTGCTTACTGTGCGCCTTTCAGTTTTCGCCTTCCTTGTAGTTGGACTTGGCCTATTTCCATGCTTGACATGGTTAATTGTGCGGTTCCCGGACTGACCGGATTTGCTTTGATCCACTTGATGTCCTCGGTGTTTGTGTTTGGGCCATGGCTTGCTATTTGCCTTCGTGCCTCTGATAATATAGCCCCGCTTCACTCCAGTGTGGCGCATGGTCACTTTTGATCCTCACTGGTGTTCTGGACTTATAAAGTTAGTGCTGGAGTTTGCTCAGCGCTTTTAATGCACCGAGGCAGCAGAACCAAGCAAAAGGACGATCGGAATAAGTTATAATTGCCAAATTATTTTCGTTCCCTTCTCAGCAGCGCAACGCAGGGAATGATGGAATATTTCAAAAACTACAAATAATAAAGGCAACGAGTTCATCAAAGACCAAATCTAGCACTTCATGAAGCGAGAATGAAAGGGGAGGGACTAGGTGACTAAAGCGGCACGATATACTGAGCGGGAGAAAAAGAAAACGGTAGGAGAAATTCATGTGGTATTACTCACAAATACATGAGGACTAACGCCAAATAACTGCAAAGACAACGCGGCATTGCATTTTTGGGACAAAGCCCTGGGGACAGTTCACGAATGTACTATCCCACCAAAACAGAAAGATGCATTTTAGATCTGCCACGAGTGAGAAGAGAAAAACCCTGATCTGTATACAGTATAAATAACATATTTTTAATAGCCACCCCTTTCATCCTCGCCTTGTCAAGTGTTAGATTTAATCTTTGATGAACGGGTTGCCTTTGTTATCGTTTTTTTTAGTTATTTCATCTTTCCCTGTAGTGCACTGTTGAGAAGGGAGCGAAACTGTTCAGCAATTTTAAACTCTTGTTGTTAGCGTTCTTTATAAAAGAGTAAAAGAAAACGAGGATACCTACGTCTCAGGTAATCCCTAACCGGCACTGTGGTCATAATATTGGACGTTGTCGGTAGTGACTCCGTTATTGCACACAAAGATGAATGTGACAGTGACAGTGGAACTTCCCTAAGATCCCTGTAGAGAAAGAACAATAGTCCAAATTATTCAAAGGACCAGTCAATTTTCCAAAAAATTTTAAAACCATTCAACCCCTGGTTTGAGGGAAAGAAGCAATGGGAAAAGTCTGAAGAAAAAATTGAATGTCACTACCAGGACTCGAACCAGGGACCCTTGCTTGTAGCCAGCGATGCTCTAACCACTGAGCTATGGTATAGTCGTCATCCCACCAGAGACCGTTTCAGACTTCATAACTCAAACTTCCTGAGAAACCACACAGGCGGGTGCGACGCAGCCCTCATAACCACTAATTTTCACCTTCTTAATTATCACTTGCTGAACTCCCATTTAAAGCATCAGGCTAAGCATTCAAACAACGAACTCCATGGCGAACGAACTCCATGATCCAAGCAATATAACTGTTTCTGATTTCTCATGAACTGAAAATTGCAAATAAGTTGATCGAGCGCAAAAAAATTGAAGAAACGTGCCTCGTGGTTTGCAAAACTACCACATGGCATCATGTTTCTCCATGGTAATTTGCTGACAAAATGTTTCAAGTCGTCACTGAAGTGCAGTGTGCTTGGAAAGGCTTTTTCAAGTACATTTGTCTAGTTTTGAACGTGACATTCGCGTCAACCTTTCAAGTAGTGTGAGTACAGCCAAAACAGGAGTCGGAGAATGTAGTGTGATGTTTTGCTTTTTTGTTGAACTCAGATGGTGAGCCAATTTAGTTATGGTAAAAAAAGGAGAACGACAAAATGTTACCTTGCACACCTGATAGGCCGTCATGACCTATACGGCAAAACGTACTTCGTGTGGAACTACTTGTTATTGTACATAACTAGTCCATCATATTTACATGACAGTGGAGTTCAGTAGGATATTATTTTTCGGTTTGTCACATGTCGTCTTCGCTTAGCTTCCCCTTTCTAAGTTTATTACATAAACTTGAGCCTCCCAAGTTGGGTGGTCCGTTGCTTTCCGTCGTTGAGTTGTAGTAAGACCGGTATGTCCAATAGTCTTACTAGTTTCGTCATTATCCAGTAACTTTCTGCATTCTTTCTTGCTGTGGGGCGTAGCTCGTTCTCTTCTTCGTTGCGCTTTCCTTCCCCTCTTGGAACTTTCCTAATCTGAGCCTTCCAAGTTGAAAGGTTGTTGGTTTACGCCTCGGAGAAGTGTTGGAGCTAGGTGTCAGGTTGCCGAATGTCTCAGTACTCCTTGTCAGTTTTGTGCCATTTTGTCGCACTCGCTGACTGCATAATATGATCTGGTTACGTTGGTAGACAGTTAGTTATAACTTATAACTTGTAACATTTTAGTTTTTTGTTGTTATTTTGAAATCTTTTTGTTGTAGTTTTTTGTTGTTTTCTTCCATCAGCACTCAAAGTTGGAAGGCTGTTGGAGTGCGCATCCAAGACGTGCTAGAGCTGAGAGCCAGTTAGTTGTATAACATCAGTGCCATCGGTGAGTGCCGTGCAAGGTTATCGCATTAGCTGATTTTTTAGCAACTGGTGGTGTTACTGGACATTACAGAGCAAAATGTAGTTCCTTGGTCATTTTCTTTACTATAAATTAATCCTTGGCTCTCCATCCTTGCACAACTGGTAATCAGTCCATATCTACACCGCAAAACAATCATCGTGTGAAACCACTGCTTGTTTCTGCTGCTTATTGTTTATCTAAATTATCATAGTCCAAGTACAGTACTGTTTAACTGAGGCGTTTGACACAATGGCAGGATTTATCCCGTGCGTGATGCTGCCATGGAGACATGCTGTCATCGAGACATGCTGCCATGGAGTCACATGTACTCATATTTTGGCGCCAACGTATCCGGCGAGCAATCCCGGTACGGTCCTGGTGCCGTCAGGGGCTTGGGGAGGGGGAGGGATACATCCCGTGGCATTTCGTGGACTGTTCTATACTGCATGTGCTATACGTGCATCCTGCCGTGTGTACAGATTTTCGTTTTTCACGTATCACGGCAATCTCTTGGGATCACGTGCTTCACTTCCCCGTGGGATGCACTGCCGTCATGTATACAGCCTCTAACTTCTGTTTTCTTTAATAGCTCAACTGTGTTGCAAAACCCTTTAGTACAACGACGATTCCTGATGAATGTTGTACGAAAACATGTTAGAATCATAATTATTCTCGTCTTCACTATATTTTTCCTTCTTCCATCGCTTTACTGCACATTGTTTCCATCCTTTGACACTGCATGAATAAACATGGTGTACACAGTCATGTCAATTCAACTTGACATTTTATTCACACAATGATGCAATCCTTTACTACTGCTGTCATTCACACCTTTAATGCAACTAACGAGATGCTTGTTTGAATACGGTTGCATGTTTCTGAGCTCCGACAGAATTCAGCAGTAGCCAGTGTCTAATACCAAATATGGCTTCAAGAATTCCAGTATCAGTGAAGGACAAGCCTACTAGTCAACCCGTTACCCCCGCATGTAGAAGAAGTGCTGCTTCGGAGAGATCTCCACCGGACAACATTCGCCCTGGAGGGATATCGACCCAGAAGCGCCCTGGTCATGCTACACGCTGCTCGGCCCAGCTGCATCCCACCGAAGCATCCGCAGTGATTGAAGTGGATGATCCGTCCGTAGATGTGGCGGCTGAGGTGATCAACACCACCGGTATTGTTGACATAGATGTTTTAATTTCAAAGTTCAAATCTGCAATGGCCGAAATCCTCGAGGAGAAAGTATCAAAGATGACGAGAGAGATGAGATCAGTGAGACAGGAGGTGCAAGAAATGCACAGTGCATACACGGATTTGAAGCACCGTATGAACGGCCTTGAAGATATATTTGAAGAGCTACGTACGATGAACTCGAGCCACCGTACCTCACTGTCTGCCCGCCTGGCGGACAATGTCAAGCGGGTTGTCAAACTGGCCGAGCTGCAGGAAGAGAGCAAGTCGTACCTCTCGACTGTGCAGTCTGATGTGTACGGCCACAACCAGCGTCTGGACACCTTGGAAAACCGCGGACCCTGTAGTACGCATGCAGCAAGCGATACCGTAGCAGACAGACGCCTCCACCCCACAGGCGCTTCCTGAGCCGGTGCTCACTGCTCACTACCCAGGAAGTACGCATGCTGATTGAAGACCAGCGGCTGCAACATGAGATCAGCAACAACGTCATCATCTCCGGAATGGCTGAGCTACCTGATGAGAATATTGCCAAAACATTGCAGTCCCTTGTGCCAGGAGCTGCTGCAGCGGATATGCAGTCACAGAGACTGGGTCAACCAGTAACAGGAGGTAAGCCACGGCTTATTCGAGTGCGTACAACAGCTCCTACAAAGACCATGCTAATGAAACATATGTGTAGCCTAAAGATTGGTGACGCTAACATCTATGTCAACCACGATCTCACTGCCAAGCAACGCGCAGCACGAAGACCAGTACTACCGTTGTACAAAGACCTGAGAAAGACGGGCATCGTATGTAGTCTTCCAAGAGATACCATCATGAAGGACTGGAAGCCCGTTTCTGAGGCTGAAGCGAAGAGGATGCTGGCCAGGGACGCCACTCCCCAGCAAGAGCAAGCACAAAGCAAGGCATAGGAATTCTCGGGTCTACGTGTTCGCCAGCTCAACTGTCAAAGTGCGGTAAGCAAACTGGCAGTGATTGAACAGCTGCTATGTAACTCTAATCTGGACGTAATTTTTCTCTCTGAAACATGGTTTCATCAGTCCCTCCTGGACGCTGTGCTCAGACTAAATGGCTACAATCTGTATAGGCGCGATAGGAATAATGCAATACTTTCGTCTACTGGTGGTGGGGTAGCCATCTACGTTCGATCCACTCTAACACCGTATTTCTCACGCTGCCCACACCTTGAATCCTCCTCCCTAGAGGACATCTGTTTAAGTTACCACAAACGGGACAACCCTAAGTACCCTATAATTATGTGTTTTCAATGCATTCTATAGACCCCCACATAGCCATGTTGCGGTACGAGATACATTCTTTACTGTCTTTCGCGCCACTGTCACTCGCCACCTAGATCATCCGCATGTCCCACTCCTCTTGCTTGGGGACTTCAATTGTAAATTATCTAGTTGGCTCCAATCAGATCCGGATACCACGGAAGGTCGGCAGCTATCAACCATTCTCGATGACCTGGGACTTCTCCAACTTGTAAGTGGTACGCCGACACGCTACTCACCAACAGGCCGGTCCTCCCCGTCCCTTCTCGATCTCATCATCACAAACACTCCCCATCTTGTCACTAAGCCTGAAGTTCTCCCACCACTATCTGACCATTGCCCAGTCATCTGCAATGTCAAACTCTTCCAACCTCGAGAGCAGCACCAGACAGACATATCCATTCCGGATTATGCAAGTACAAACTTCGAAGTTATGCGCGCCGACCTATGGGCACAGCCCCTGTACGAATGTTTAGAAAGAGCTACCTCAATCGAGAGCGCTTGGTTTTCCTGGCAGAGTTATGCTCACGAGAGCATCCGCCGTCACTTGGCTACACGTTTGCTCAGACCACGAAGAAAGGAGACTGCGAAGCCCTGGTTCACGGCAAGCCACAATCGACTGCACAGACAGCGAAACAGGATGTTTGCCCTAGCCAAGCGAACCAACACCGTGCAGGATTGGGTTGCGTACAGGGTGGTTCGCAACGCCCTCTCGAGCAGCCTCAAGCGCAACAAAGCGGACTACTTCAACCAATTGTGCTCGCGTATCGACAGTGAAAAGAATAGTTACAGGTGGTGGGCACAAGCCAAGAAGCTCGCGCACATTACGAGCCAGACGGCTAACTTACCGACGCTAACCGACGAGAGTGGGGAAGCCCCATGCGACGCAAGCAAGGCAGAAAAGCTGGCAGACACGTTTGTAAGACAATTCTCGCCAAACCCTAGCTTCGACCTAGCTGCAGCTCTCCTGACGCCCTCGTTCTCTACACCTGACCATGAGTTTGATCTGCCCAGAATAACTGAAGAAGAAGTCTTCCGAAAGCTCCGAACACTTCCGGCAAGAAAATCCACCGGAGGACTGATAACAAATAGAATCCTGAAAGACACTGCGGCCGTGATCACGCAGTCCTTGTGTCAGCTTCTCAACCTCAGTCTACGTCTCGGACAACTACCAGTAGACTGGAAAACCGCCACTGTTATCCCAGTATTCAAGAATAATGGACAACCGGCAGTACCCACCAGCTATAGACCAATCTCCCTCCTTCCGGCCATTGCCAAGCTCCTAGATTCGATCATCGCGGAGCACCTGTCGAGGTACCTATCCAGACATAACATAATCTCTGCCCACCAGTCCGCCGGAGGTCAACACTGGATCAGCTCGTCATGCTGACATCTAGGATAGCCAAGGCGATGGACAAGTGGAGCACCTACCACACCCTGTTCCTGGACTTCGCTAAGGCGTTCGACAAAGTGCCGCATCCAGTCCTCCTCTACCATCTGGGAAAGTTTGCAAACCAGAACGCACTTTCGTGGTTCTCCAGTTGCCTTGGTGACCGGCAATTCACGGTCAAAGTCACTTCCTCCGTATCCACAACCCGCCCTATAGCCGCTGGCGTACCACAAGGATCCCATCTCGGCCCTATCCTGTTCCTTCTGTACATCAACTCTCTCCCGCAGACCATCCCAGATGAGGACCACTGTCGAGTTCTTCTCTTTGCCGATGACACGACCATTGGAACGGAAGTCGCTGCACCTACCACTCCCTCTTCCCAGCATCATAGTCACCCACTCCAGGTTGCCACGGATGCCGCCCTGAAATGGGCCGACTCGGCAGGTGGACGCTTTAACCCCACGAAGTCCTTCCAAATGACGTTCTCCCCACGTATCAACGGACCGGACCCTCCAAACATCGGGCACCTGCGAATGAACCAGGAAGAAGTGCGCACGGTCGACACGCACCGACATCTTGGCGTGCAAATTGATAGCCACCTCAACTTCCAGTGCCACATCGAAACAATCACCACCAAATTTCGCCAACGCGTGGTACTACTTGCCCACATGTCGAGCCGCCTAACGCTGGAAGTTACAAACCGGCTTTATACTGGCTATGTCCGACCCACCATTGAATACGCCTCACCACTGTGGCAGTTCCAACTGTCCGCATCCCAAGCGGCGGTGCTTGAGCGTCTGCAGGCCAGATTGGCACGAGTCGTCTTGAGACAGTACGGTGTGTTTCCCTCCGCTACTGAACCGAAGCCATCTCTGTTCGCGCACCTGCAATGGCCAAGTCTGGCATGGCGGCGACACATCCAGTGCCTCCGGGAGCTCCATCACCTGGTCCACCACCAGACCACTGCCCTTATGGAGCTGGGCTATAGTCTCTCCACCAGCGCACGGCGCCCTCTCCAACTTGTACCGCCTGCCAGGGCGAACAGCTACTCGCGTGCCACCTTCCTCTTTGTTACCGCTGCCACCTGGAATTCTCTCCCCCCCTGACATTAGAACCACCCAAAATAGTCATTGCTTTGTGTCTCGTGTCCGTACCATCTTTGCCAACACCCACTTCGAACCCGCTAGTTTCATTCCTTCCAGAGTTTCTATAACATAGTAAAGAATGGTATGGCTGATTTCTACAGTATGCATTTGTTATAACCCTTCCTCTTCTCAATCTATAATTATGTTATAATTTTGCAGATATATTCCCAGTAAGCCATGAACGGAGACCCCCTCGACTTAGGCCCCGGCCTTTGGGGAATCCATGAATAAAATTTTTTAAAAAATGCAAGGGCACAGATATACAGTGAGACCTCTCTAAGACGACCGCTCGAGGGACCTTCAAAACGTGGTCTCTGTTACCAGGTGTGTAGTGTTATCTTGTATGTGTGTGTGTACCCATTGTGCATGCCTGTTCTCTTATTCATACTCTTCTCTTTATAGATCTAGACCCTACGGTATCCCTTTGATGATTCATCCCATATCTAGATGTGTCATGCACCGTAGCGTACCCTCAAGTACTCTACTAGATCCCGATATGGAGTACCCGCGACTGTCTTACTGTATTATGTTTCTTTCACGACGATTTGTGTTCTTGCACTGATAATTGAGAGGGTTCTTTGCCTCACAACGAGACCGTGTTGAGTTGGTATTTTGGTGTGCTCTCGACACGTACTAAGGACGTCGGGATAACATTACATGGTGGCAGCGCTGGGATTTCCTCTTTGACGGGATGGCGACAGGCGTTTCAAACAACCCTGTTTCCACTCCCACAACTACTTCCATCACGGTTTCCTCAGGTCCTAGTAGTACTACAACTAGTAATGCTGGCTCGTCAGGAGCAGTCACTGTCTCGAGTGTTGGTAAAGCTGCACCCTCTGTCGTTTCCTCCGCGGCTGGATCCCTTCCCACCGTATCATCTCTGGGTCCCGCGGCACCCCAGGTTCGGTCGATGATCCACCTTACCCAAGTTGCTCCTCCAGCCCCATTCGACTTCAAGTTCGCTGATGTGTGGGAGAAGTGGAGCAAGCGAATTACGAGATACAGGCTCGCCTCTGGTCTCCACATGCAGGCACAGTCTGTGCAAGTAAACTCTTTGTTATATTCGATGGGCGACGAGGCTGACGACCTCCTGCTGAGTTTCCATTTATCAGACCAGGATGCGGACAACTACGACATTGTATTCCAGAAATTTGCAGACCATTATGGCGGGAAACGCAATCTGGTGTACGAGCGTGTGAAATTCCACCAGAGGTCCCAACAGCCCGGAGAGTCGATTGATGGCTACATAACTGATTTGTTTCGTTTGGCAGAACGTTGCAACTTCAAGCAGCTCCACGACGAGATGATCCGTGATCGCCTTGTTGCAGGAGTTCCAGACACTGCCCTGTCCCAGAAACTGCAACTGGACCCATCACTTACTCTGGACAAAGCTCTGGCACAAGCTCGCCAGAAAGAGACAGTTCGAACACAACAGTCCACTGTCCGTCACAGTTCGTCAGCCCGTGCAACTCTTCACCAAGTCCACGCTTTCGAACAGCAGCATCACTCTGCATGTGAGTCGTGTACCTGTGCACTGGAGCTGAATGCACTTAGCATGCGACCACAACCTCACCAAGGTGTGAAACATCCGGCCCAGTACAACAGGGATTCAACTGGTCATGCTTCACAGCCCCGCATGTATACACACAGTTACAGTGGTCATCCTTGCTCAAGTCAGTCTGCACCCAGGCACAGCTCTGGCGTTGATCAATGGAGTACCTGTCACTGGTGTGGTTAGGAACGCCATGCACGCACTCAATGCCCAGCTCGTCAGGCCAAGTGTTCATTTTGCAGCAAGATTGGACAATTTGCTGTTGTTTGTATGCAGAAGCACACTAGTAGCTCTCAGTCTGCCTCCAACACCAGTCACATGCATAGTCTGCAGTCCTCTGCTGCTAGCGCTGGTCCATTACAGTCTGCTGACCAGTGGCACTATCCTCCAGCCTACCTAGGTGCATTATCTGCAGATACTGGGTGGTCTATGCCCATGCTGCTGCAGTCAGTACCTGCAACAATGAAGGTCGACACTGGTGCAGACGTAACCGCCATCCCAGCCAGCTTATATGACGACATATCTGCTCACCATCAGCTCAACCTCCAGGAGTCCGACCGTATGCTGAAAGGTCCAGACAACGCGACTCTAGCAGTTTCAGGCCGCATCACACTCAGTATATGCCGTGCTGCATTTTCCGACTTTGCAGTAGACACAACAGTGTACGTGGTACCGCACCTGAAAACACCTCTGCTCAGCCGGCCAGCAATCGAAGCCCTACATATCTGCAGTCCGCCAGCAGATTTGCTCAGCACAACTACCGGTACTTCTGAGCAGTCCTCTGTCAAAACGCAGTACCCTGAGCTCTTAGCGGAAGTTGGTTTGTTTGGCAGTGAGCACACGATTCGGCTGGTCGATAATGCACAGCCTTACTCTCTGCCTACACCATGCCGTATCTTTCTATCGATGGAAGCCAAAGTTATCGAAGAACTGCAGGCCCTCGAACAGAGTGGTGTCATTTGCAAGGTAACTGAGCCAACCGATTGGTGTGCCGGTATGGTAGTGGTTCCTAAGCCCAACGGTAACGTGCGCATCAGTGTTTCTTTACCCGACTCAACCAGGTTATCCGACGGGAACGTCACATCATGCCAACAACCGATCACCTGCTTGCTCGCCTCGGCACAGCCAAGGTCTTCTCGAAGCTGGACGCGAACAAGGGCTTTCACCAGATCCCCTTGTCGCTGGAATCTCAACTGCTAACAACATTCATTACGCCCATCGGTCGTTTCTGCTTTCGACGACTCCCGTTTGGCATCTCCTCTGCACCTGAGTACTTCCAGAAGCAGATGTCTGACCTGCTGAGCGACCTGCCAGGCACAATTTGCATGATCGATGACGTTCTAACCTTGGGTGACGACGAACACGAGGAGGAGAATAATCTGCATGCAGTCCTACAGCGTCTCTCATCAGCCGGAATCACACTCAACCCAGACAAGTGTGCTTTCCACCAACGTTCAGTCAAGTTCCTGGGACACATTCTCGACGACAACGGCATCCACCCTGATCCCCAGAAAGTGCGCGGCGTTCAGGAGCTGAAACCCTGCACGGATGTCCCAGCAGTACGTCGTTTCCTTGGCATGGCGAATCAGCTGGGAAAGTTCGTACCTGATTTGGCAACGATGTCTCAGCCACTCCGTGCTCTCCTGATCAAAGGCCAGGAATGGTCCTGGACCGATGCACACCAAGCAGCATTCGACGCGATCAAGTCAGCCCTCAGCTCGCATCCAGTACTGGCAATGTACTCGACTACCCTGGATATGATCATATCTGCAGACGCCTCATCATTCGGCCTGGGAGCAGTCCTCCTCCATGTGCAGTCTGACGGCTCCATTCGTCCAGTTGCATATCAGTCCCGTTCTCTGACACCAGCTGAGACACGCTATTCTCAAATCGAGAAAGAGGCTCTTGCTTTTACTTGGGCATGCGATCGTTTCGAACATTTCATACTTGGCAAGCCGTTTACGATCCAGACCGACCACAAGCCGCTCATCCCGCTTCTAGGCAGCCGTGCTCTAGACGACCTACGGCCTAGAGTTGTCCGTTTCCGTCTGAGGCTCCTTCGTTTCAATTTCCGCATTGTTCACGTGCCAGGCAAGGATCTCGCCATTGCTGACGCTCTCTCCAGAGCACCTGTTTCATCAGACTAAGTCGACAGCCAAGATGTTGATCTCCTCGCAGCTGAGACAGCAGCGCTCATCGACTATGCCGTTGATTGTCTGCCTGCAACTACTAAACGCCTCGATGACATCGCCAAGTGGCAAGTGTCTGATCAAGTGTGTGAGTCGCTTGCTCGCTACTGCGCTGACGGCTGGCCACACTCGTCCGATGCTCCTTCTGATGTTCGACCATACGTAGAACACCGGGCACACATCACACTTACCGATGACGGTCTGCTGCTCTACAACGACAGGTTGATCATTCCCGCATCTCATCGCGACGACATTCTGTCACGGCTCCACACTGGACACCAAGGCATAGCCAAGTGTCGCCGTCTTGCCCGCAACTCTGTCTGGTGGCCCTCCGTCAATTCGGCCATTCAGCTGTATGTTGCAAATTGCTCGACGTGCGCCCGCATACACACTCAACCAGCTGAACCGCTCATCCCAACAACACTCCCTGATCTACCATGGCAACGTCTAGCTGCTGACCTGTTCCACTTTGGTTCGCGTGACTTTCTCCTACTGGTAGACTACTACTCTCGCTACATCGAAGTCGTCCAGCTGACGTCAACATCATCCAAGGCTGTAATTACGCACCTGCAAAGTATCTTTGCCCGTCACGGTATTCCCGAGACATTGATGTCGGACAACGGTCCACAGTTTGCGTCTGAGGAGTTTCGTCGATTTGCTGAGGAGTTCTTATTCCAGCACGTAACCAGTTCTCCGCTATATCCACCGGCTAACGGTCTCGCCGAAAGATCCGTTAAAACCGTCAAGCATCTATTCACTGCCTCTCCAGATTGGTACAGTGCGTTGCTCACATATCGCAATACTCCTCTGGAATCCGGTTACAGTCCTGCACAGCTCCTAATAGGTAGACAACTCCATTCACGTGTCCCCGTTTCCAGCTCGCAACTGCAACCTCAGTTGATTTCGACATCTGACTTTGCCGCCGCCGATGCAGCTCTCAAGGCCCGGCAAACCAGCAACTACAACGATCGGCACCGTACTCGTTCTCTGCCGCCTCTAAAAGCTGAGCAACCAGTCTACCTCACGGATCGCCATGAAACTGGTACAGTACTCCGTCAACCCGCCATTCGCTCATACGTTGTGTCTACACCCTCGGGTGAATATCGTCGCAACCGTCGACACATTGTTGCTTTGCCGTCCGCACCTCCGGTTGCGCAGGTTCCGAAAGCAGCTTCAGCACCAATACAACACCACCGCGTCCAACACAACCTATGGCAACAAGTACAACATCCTCTACAACCTCTTCTACACACTCAGCCGTTCCTACATCCAGTACAACATCAGCAGGCACAACCATTACTCGTAGTGGTCGTACTGTGATGCCTCCTGATCGTTATGGTTTCTCTGACTGAACTCTTGCTCTGATCTACCATTGAACTCGCATCATCATTACCTCTTTCATCTCTTGCTCTGTTGCTCTACTCTTCTCTACGCTTTTCTCATGTGTATGTGTGTACATGTGTATGCGTGTATGTGTGTATGTGTGTGTTCTTCTTCTTTTGCGGAAGGGAGGGATAGGATTATATCTTATTTATTTATTTATTTATTTCTGCACCTCGTGGCATGTCAAGACAGCCAATTGAATTGAGGAGAGGGTGAGGCCAACCACGGAAGAAGAGAAAAAAAGAAAATGAAGAGCTCGTACACAAAGTGGGAAGGGATTAGCAACTTACAAAGCAATGGGATGCTCAGCGAGCTATGCAGCGGAAGTGGTGACTGTGACTTTGTTTACTGGGAGATACTGAAGTGCTGTCTGATGAGGGTACGGAATTTGGGCATATCTGGAGCTTGTCTAACACTGGGAGGCAGTTGGAGCCACTTGGAGTAGGAGGAAAAGAAAGGGGAATTTACGAATAGGGTAGACCTAACTAGGGGGAGACGAACGCAGCTTCGGGTGGTGCCACCTCAATTGAACCAATTAAGGGACTGTAAATGAGCAGGGTGCTGGTCAAGAAAAATTGAATGTGCCAGGGTGCACTTGGAAGCATCAAGGTAATGTTGCAGAGTGGTAGTGGATGCAGCAGCATACAAGTCTAGATTTGAGATATAACGATCTGTACGAAATATGATGCGCAGTATACGGTGATGGAGAACTTCTAATTTACCTATGTGGGTTTTGCTAATGGTGGACCAGGCAGGGAAGCCGTACGTGAAGAGGGGAAGAATGTATGATTTATAAAAATTAATCCGGCAATTTTGGGGCAAATGGGACATTGACTTGACATTATGCCAACAGATCGGCATACTTTGGACGACACATGATCAGCATGGTGAGACCAGGAGAGGGCGGAATCTATGACAATGCCTAGGGTGTTTATGGTGGGGCGCTACAGAGATAGGGTGATCGGGATCATCGGGAAAGTGGAAGATGGGCACTGGATCTGTGGGAGGGTGAAAAAGGAGGAGCTCGGTTTTGGTCACATTTGGCTTTTAAAAGGTACCAAGTGCTCATCCAGTGAGCAATGTAGTTGATAGAGGTCTGAACTTTGGGGTACAGGGTGGCGTGAGATGGGAAGGAAAGCTGTTCATGTTGGAAGAATTCACCCTGGTTGCTCTGCTTCCTCCATCGCAAAATGGTGCGAAAACAAGCAAGTGACTGTACTGAAATGCTCCGTCTCTGAGACAAAGTACTTTGGCCTAGCGTACGCGCACGTAGTCGTCACAGAAGATTACTGGGAAGCTGTGCAAAAAACTGACTTTTGGCCTGACGGAGTGACAGCTCGAGAATGGCGATTCAAGGCTGACAGAATAAGTACAGCTGACAACACAACCGTCGATCAGTCTGCACAATAATGAACCTCAACCCCCCGATACTTCCTCACTGTTCCCCAAACATTACTACTAACAGCACACTTAATCCATTAGCTCAGCCTTTTTACCCACTTTCGCAGCCAACCGCAGGATCACAGCCTATAATGTGCATCAATGCCAGGTCCATTAAGAACAAGACTGCCGAGCTGGCTCACATTTGTTCCACAGTTAAACCCCTAATTGTTTGCATAACGGAAACATGGCTCTCTCCACAGTCGTCTTTCACGGTCCTGGATATGACTGTTTTTGATCGTCCGCCAGATGAAAACAGGTCAGCTACCGATGCCATCCATGCATATGGCGGTGTCTGTATCATGGTACGATCTGGGATGTTTCCAAAGGTCACCCATCGATCTGACCTCAGTATCCCTCTCCTGGAAGCCACATGGGTGGAAATAGCCCTGTCATCTGCTAACATACATTTCCCAGAGGCGCCTCATGTGAAGAAGTTGGTTATTGGTGCAGTATATCGACCCCCAGCCCTTACCCCATCAAGTATCAACACCTTCTGCAATTCCCTCCAGCACTGTCTAAATACTCTTAAGAACCGAACAACATCTATCCTGTTGATGGGAGACTTTAATGCTAAGTCATGTCATTGGCATGGAACTACCACGGATGCCGCTGGTCGCCACAGTCTTTTCGGCATGTTCTCTCTCACGCAGCTCGTAAATTTTCCAACACATGAGTCATTGTCTGGCATGGGGGCAGCTCTCGACCTAGTTGTCACTAATATACCGGACTCTATGTCCTGCCTCCGTGCTACAGCACCACTTGGTCAATCCGATCATTCTATCGTGGTTGGCCACATCCGTACTGTACCCTGCCCAGAAATGCCCACATATCGTTCTCGTGATGCTCGTTCGACTCCCCTGGATGTCCCTGATTTTAGTGTATTTTCTTTGGATTCTCTAGACAGCAACACTGTCGCGAGTATGAATACTGCCATGTCCCACATACATTGTCCAGCAGCTTTGAGCCTGGAGAGGCGCGATCCTGACATATCTGTGGACAACTTTTACTCTATCTTCCATAACATCTGTGCAAGATTTCTGCCCAGGCAGAAGCCGCCGGCTGTCAAGCGTATCCATATGACCCCCCCCCCCTGGCTGACAAGTACCCTCCGACATCAAATAAAGAAAAAACGAGATTCGTATAGTGTTTACCGAAAGGTTCCCTCGGCTGACAACTTCGCTATTTACAGACGAGAGCAAAACGTTACTCGCAATATGTCTCGAACTGCCCATCGACTGTACATCTCATCCCTAAGTGCATCCACGGCAAGACCCGCATCACCAAGTTTATTCCAGTTTGTCCGGAAGCTTCGATCTCCCCAAGGCAACAGCAGAACGACTGTAACTCTCAATCGCTGGTACTCTATATTCTGACCCTGTGGATGTGGCAGATGCTTTGAACGAACAGTTTATTGGTTTTGGAACACAAGATGATCCTTCATGGAATGTGCCAGACTTCAAGCCACCCGACGCCCCATCACGTGGAAGAACCACACCTACGTTGCAACATGTCACCACCACGCCTTTTGCTGTGGCAAAGCAAATCCGCAACCTTAAGATCCGAAAGGCTGCGGGAGCGGACGGTATTTCTCATGAACTCCTGAAACTATTTTGTTCCAGTATTGCATACCCTCTCAGCCTCATCTTTAACCTCACTTTTGCAACTGGTGCTTTCCCTGCTATTTGGAAACACGCAATTGAAACTCCGGTCTTTAAGAACAAGGGAAGTAAGCTCGATGCATCGAATTACCGCCCGATTTCGTTATTGTCAACAATCTCCAAGCTGTGTGAACGTATTATGTACAACCACTTATACACTTACCTGTCTCCTGTTCTACATCCGTCCCAATCTGGATTCCGAAAAGGCGACTCTACGTCTTGGCAGCTTCTCAGACCTGTTCAATCGATGTCTTTTGTTCGTGAGAACGGCCATTACAGCATGCTATGTTTCTTTGATCTAAGCAAGGCCTTCGACACAATATGGACACGCGGGCTCCTATACAAGCTGTCGCGCCATGGAATCCATGGTACTTGCTTCACATGGCTCAGTACTTACCTGACGGGCAGACAGCAAAGGGTGCGTGTCGGCTCTGCTCTGTCTGCCAAAGGGCATGTACGGTCTGGAGTTCTTCAGGGATCAATCCTGGGGCCTCTCCTCTTTCTTATGTATGTAAACGATCTGGCAGAAATGGATCACAAATCACTATATTATGCTGATGATACAGCACTACTTGTGACAGCACCCACTCTCCCCGAGACTTGTGCCAAGTTACAGTCCAACATAGATGGCGTTATTCATTGGATGGAAAAATGGAAATTGCAGCCCAACTCTTCGAAAACTGCTGTAATGTGTATCCCCCCCCCCCCCCCTCCCAGTTGTTCCTGTGACCTATCTTCATTAGAAACCAGTCCCTTCACCTTTCCAGGCACCAAAACCCCGCTCTGCATCGTTGACAAACACAAGCATCTTGGCGTCATTATTGACCAACACTTAACCTGGAAATCCCAGATCGAAAATTTAGACAGCCGTGTTAGCTCAGTAATGGGATTTCTCTCATCACACATCACCCACCTCCACACCGACTGTCGCCATGTTATCTACACATCTTACATTCTGTCTATTTTTGATTACTGCTGCATAATTTGGGCTGGCATTTCTAAAACACTGATTGCTCGACTCGAAGTTATGCATAGGCGTCTTTTGAAAATATTATTTCGGCTTCCTCGCCTGACTCGAAGCACAGAATTATACCGCCTTGCTTCTGCTGTGCCGCTCTCGGTCCGCGTGCGTTTTTTTGGCATGCCAGACAATTCATAAAATTAAGCTGGGCATTGCTCCTCTTCATGCTCTCTCCTGCCTAAGCTGGTTTGCTCAATCTCAAGACATGCGCACCAGAAACTCTCTCCGCTTTCCTATTGCGCGGTCTGCCTCTATGCAAACATCTCCTCTCTTCCTTGCTTACCGCCATTGGTCTCTCCTCCCACAACATCTAAAATCCTGCCAATGTTAAAATATAATCGCACAGGTCACATTGTAGAGTGCAGATCACCTAGTGCTTTCAACAATAATAACATACTTCCACATTATGGGAATTTGGTATAACCCCACACCCGTCATTGTTGAATATTCGATAATAGCGTGGATTTCCCCAACAATAATTATATTTTCATTTTTTTGTTATCCTCTCCCATGCCGTTGTACATAAGCGGCTTGCCGCGGATATGTCAATACTACTACTAATGTTAAAATACATTCACACAGCTACTGCAGAATGCAACATACTAGTTGATATCCAGCCCTGCCCTAGCTTCTCTTACTTTTCAGTTCCCCTTTCATTCTTTTTCTTTCTCCCCTCTAGCTCTACTACCGCCATGGCTGGCTATCGCCCACATCACCATTTCATTGGCTAGTGCCACGTGATGGTGAATAAATAATAAAAGGAAGCAAGGACAGTGGTATCATCTGCAAACAAAGAAATAT